CCGGGACACGCGGGAAGGCCAGGGCGCGTGGGAAGGCCAGGCCCAGCGGCCGCCCCAGGTCCTTGGGGGCCGAGGGCACAGGGTCGTTGCTGAACTCAGGCGGTGGCGGAATGACCTCGAAAGTAAACTCCTCTTCCTCCTTGTCTTGCTGCCTGCAGAAAGGTGAGGGTGGCGACGACAGGGACCTGGGGAGCAAGGGGTCCTGTGGGAGGCTGGAGGGGACAGGTCTGTCCCAGGTCCCCCTGGGGCCACGGGGCTGCACTGCTGTCCACTGAGGCAGCGAGCTTGGTTCTGCACTCCCCGGGGACTTCCGCTCACTGGCCAGCAGGGTGACCTTGTCTGCCTCCTTGGGGACCACTGTGAAGGAGTTGGGCTTGCAGTCCATGGGGAAGACGCCATCGGACCTGGACTCCAGCAGGCCCCCGTGGCCACGAAGGCTCCCTGGCAAGGACCTTCCCATGGCAAGCCCTCCAGGCCGCCCCTTCTGCGCCCGCTGCCTGGCTGCCAGGAGCAGGGCCATCGGAGACCCGCGCTCCACCACCTCCCCGGTCACTGGGTGCCGAAGCGGCTGATCAGAGGGAGGGGATAGGACTGGGGGTGTGGCTGGCCCAACCTGGGGCCCCCGAGCCCCCACAGGGCCTCCTGGACCTGTGGCCTCTCCTCTGGCCAGTGTGGGCGTCTCTGTGGCAGCCTCGAGGCTGGGGCTGCTCCGGTGGCTGTGGGGCTTGTAGAAGAGCCGCATCTCTTCCCGGTCCTTGGGTGTGGGCGGCCCAGTGGGCCCTGTCAGGTGTGTTTGGGGCCCTGGTTGGGAGGGCACTATGCCTTCCTGAGGTTCTGGCTGCTCTTGCTGCCCACCTCGCTCAGCTGGGACCCAGCTCTTCTCTGCCGTCAGGTGGGATGGCGTGGAGGGCTTTACGGTAGCCGGCCCAGGAGCGGCTGTGGTTTGCAGCAGTGCAGTCGGCTGCGGGGTGGGAGACAGAGTCGGGAGATCCTTGGCCACAGGCTTGGGGGATCTGTCATCTGTCCCATTTGTCAAGCTTGATCCCCCTCCAGGCTGGGGTTTGGGGGGCAGGGACCCCACACTGGGCCTGGCGTCCTTTTCTGCAGATGCAGACAGCCGGGCCTCCAGCTCCTTCCGGATCTGCTGGACACTGGGGGTGGGTGCGTCCTGGGGGTCGTAGTCCACTGGGGGGAGGGGCAGGCTGGGACCCTTCTCGGGAGCACCCGAGGGCGTCTTCTCAGGTGTCTTCTCCGGGGTCCTCTTCTCAGGCAGTCTCTGGGGCGCCACCTCCCCTGGGGGGTTCAGGCCCTTCTTGCCCTCCTTGTCCTGAGCTGCCACCGTGGGGCCCAGCCTGCGACCAAGGGCTCTGTCCTCCCTCCTGGGGCCGCAGAAATAGGCTGCCAGCTGGCTCCGTAGCTGCTCCAACTGGTCCGGGTCGCGCCAGTCTGCTGGCTCTGAGGGGCCCTCAGGCACTGGGGTGGGGAGTTTGGGTTTGGACTTGGGTGTGGGTTTGAGAGCAGGCAAGCTGGATTTGGGGTGCTTTGGGAACTCAGCAGCTGGAGGGGCAGCCCGTACAGCAG